TTTTCAGGTTTACATAACAGTAGCTCGTTTGATTCCCAGGAACCTCCTAGGCAGTTCGATTAATTCAGCAGGGATTGAGTTTTGTTAATATTTGGCTACCGCAAGAGAGCTGTCCCATTCCAGTGTCTACAATACAAGCCATTTGTTTGCTATTGTTGGAGAATCAGACTTGCTTTCTGACTTCTTACAAAAGCCATTAGAATTCTATTTGTTTCCCCCTCTCACCAGCAATTACAAACAACCAGCTCCCTTTTATCCCCCACCTCCTCTGCAGTAATTTGACTGAAATAAACAGCCAGTCAGATCCAATTGAATGGATGGTAGGCAGCTCTATAAACACTTTTTAGAAACTCAGCTCATTAATAGTTGCCTTCCAAGGTTTTCTTTCATCCTCTCCTGACACCCCTGGCATCACTCCTAGACTGGAGGCTGGCAGCAATAGAGAAGTGCAAATACAAGATGTATTTGAAATATAGTTTAGATCCTGACAGCTTAAAAAAAGTTACAGTCTGTCCAAATACTACTTTTGTCTCTTGGCAGTGTACTGTTAATACCTGACCCTGTGTGGCCGTCTCAGATCTCAGGCAGTAAGATGCCAACTGTCTTTTGAGATGAAGACAGTTGAGTTTTAAGAGAGTATTATCTAGAATATTGTGAAACAATCTCAATTCCTGGAAAACACTGCTTTAAAAGACTTGTAGGCCAGTGGAAGCAGCCAAAGACTGCTTCCAAAAATGAATGTAATCAAGTCTGGTATCAGGAGGTAGGCAAACAAAAGCAGCAAGTATGGTACTAGAACTACAAAATATGAGCCTAAATTAAAAAGCTGTTTCCAAAATTTGACAATCAAAACCCCAGCTCCTGTTGGACAGCTGCCACGTGCCACATGATGGTACTGCATGCCACAAAAGTTGAAAAATTTCAAAGCAATTTGGGTGCAATGATGCTGAGCCTTCCTGAGCCTAAAGGCTAGAAACTTGACTCCAGAAATGGAATTCACAAACCCAAGATAGATATCTAAGTTTCCTGCATTTTAAAAGGGGAGAATTAGGTATCCAAAACTGGTATTCACAAGGGCCAGCATGTTGAGCACAGGGGCACTTACACCAGGCTCAGGAAACGCTGAAGAAATTGGTGTTTGGAAATCCTGAGCCTCTCTGCTTTATGTTGCAGCTTGTTGCCCACCTGCATCTGGCATTTATTTATTTAACATCAAAATGAGAAGCTGGAATTCACAGCCCAAATCCCCTGTGTAGGTTTGGGTACTTTGTGTGTGGGTGAGTGGCTTGCTATTTTCTTTTAAAATGGCAGCTGTGTGGGGAATGCCACTGCACATCTTTTCTCTGTAATTGTAAAACAGGTATTAGTACAGCATGAGCCCAGGAAATGAGAGTCCCAAATGTTAGGCTCTCCACAGCCTGAGTATATTTAAAGCACCATCTCTCAACTCCCAGAACACTGCCCTAAATACCAGCTGGTCAGCAGCAGGCCTGTTCTGAGCATGCCTGCTGGATCAGGCTCCTCCTGGTACTCAGGGTGCAGGGTTGTCTCATTTGGGAATCCTGGAAGGTTTTAAGCATCTCAGAAAATTCTCCAGTGAAAAAGCACCTGGTGGGTTTTGGACACCTAAGCAGGTTAAGTTTCCTGTAAAGTGCTCTGCTGGATTTAAGTACTTTAATTCCTAAGTCCTACTTTACACATTTAAGTTCCTTTTGAATCTTGCCCGAAGTATTTTGCCATAGCACTATGATTCAAAGAGGGTGATACTTCCAAACCTAGGTTTGAAGATGATATAATACCAGAAATGTGAGAGTGTCGCTTTGATTGCCCAAAGCCAGTCCCTGGGGCAGAAGGGGAAGCCCAACATACAGCAGAGGCCAATAAGATTTAATGTCAGGTTGTTTTTTTTTAAATACACAAAAACAGAGGTAAAGGCCTTTAAGTCCACAAGCAACATTTGAGAAACACAGACTACTCCACTTACTGCATATGAAAATTGGATAGCCACATCATTTACTTAACTTCATAACTTGACACCAGTCCCAATTTTTGCCAGTTGCTTTCATTATAACAAACATTATAGCTGCAGTTAGCTGCAGTTTAACTAAATGCATAAAACTGCTTAAGTTTTAGCTTTTCAGCTGCAATGGTTACATGGCAATGTGATTGTACTTCTTTTAACTGCTAATGCAGCCATGAACTGACAAGGCCCTGTCAACTGATCTAGTTGAAGATGGTCCTGCTTTGAGATGGGGGTTGTACTAGAGATGACCTCCTGAGGTCCCTTCCCTAATTTTCTGTGATTCTCTAATTCCAAGCCTGCTGTTAGAGGCACAAGGCTCTCTGAGAAACAATAAAAAGAAGACATAATAAGATATGAAAAATGTAGTAAGCTGTTCCTGTAGTTAATGTGCATCGAGTTTGAGAAAGTGCATAGTCTTCTAAGGCCATACATGAAAATGGACACTCTACGGCACTCCTGCTTTTTAGGGGTGTCTGAAATGCTTTATATAGTGTTTAGCACAATGGAGTGCAGGCTTCTAGGCAAAAACATAAAAACGACTGGTGTTTGTAATGTCCTTTGAAATCCTCCAAGTAAGAGTGAGAATACAAAGTATTTTTCCTCAAAAAGGTAACCCTAACTTTAAAAACTCTTTGATTCCATTCTAGGTACTGGCTTAGGACATCATAGACAACTTGGTCATAAACATACAGAAGAGGAACAAACAGCCATGGTAAATTAAAACTGCCCTTCTTCCAGCCCTTCCCACCTCCCAAAATCAGTAATGATACAAGAGTTTAATGTTTCAACTGTGAAAATACTTAATTTATCTAATATTTCTCAGCTAAGTAGATTAGTAATAGCCGTTTTGTCAGACAGGGATGATATCACAACATAGTGATGATTACTAGATCACGATGCCTACTAATTTAGGAATAAAAAAAAAAGAAAGCAATGCTATAAGATATTAAAAAATATCAATTTTTCCAGAACCTACCTCTGGAAAGTCCCAACTGACCTTGCTAGGTGACAACACAGACATTCGCTGCAAATTTACAAATTATTTTTGTACTTCTACAATCTAATTATTCCTCCAAGAATAATACTTGCTGCACATGCTCAAGCCTGTGATATCTGAGGATGCTTACAAAGTCTTCAGAAATCTTAACTTATTAAAACTCCTGTTTCCAGTAAAGTTGTGGAAAGGACAGAGATTAGGGAAGAATACCCGTTCCTTGCAAAATGAGATGAACAGGAAGAGTTTTTTGCTCCATCTTGATACACAAAGAATGCTCCGTCTCTCTTGAATGACTATTGCAAACAAACAAACAAACTTGTCTATCTCAGAAGAATGTGCAGTGACTAAACATTCAACGTCACAAACATTAAGACACTGAATGTCAAATCTACTGATAGGGGGAGGAATGTTTAATCAGGCTAAACATTTTAGGGCTTTTCATATTTTTTAACTCTGGTGACTAATTCTGGGATACTCTTGTAGTAGTAACAAAAACAACATTCCTACGCATATGCTGATCTCAAGGGTGATTCAAACAGTGATAAGACATCTGGGCCAATGTGGTTCTCATTTTCAAAAAAGGGAAGAAGGAGGACCCAGGAAACTACAGGCCAGTCAGTGATCCTGGGTAAGCTTTTTGAGAGAATTATCCTGGCGCATGTCCGCGAGGGGCCA